GCTTCTCAGTTGCGTGTCATATCGGGAGACTTCCTCAGGCCTCCTTCTCCCTTTGTTGACTTGTTTAATCAGGTTTGTTTGATTTTGTCTTTGTCTCTTGATTTTACCTGGCCCTCCTTGGGACGAATCTTTTGGTCAATATCTGGTTTTTCCTCCTTCGTTGGATATTGTGGTTCATGCTAGTTGTCTTGGGGACAGTTGTGATCAAGAGTCAGTATCCCTCATCCATCTTGTACATTGGATAATCATTCTTTTGCTTTTCATCATGCCAACTACCCATATTTAGACTCTCAACATTTGGAATCTCTTATTCTGCTGGTGTCAATGGCATGATGCCCTTCCTACCGTGAACCTAATGTACAATTTCAGATGTTGCCAGGTGTTGTTTGTAGCACTCAGTCATTTCTGTACATATCTATTGCAGTTTGCCCTTCTAGCTGAGACATTCCTCCTTCCTACCATCTTCCAGATGTTAGTTCCTGGTGGATCAGGTGCTGGTTGGAGATGGTCCAGTCACATAAGTCCTCACATGTGTTTGGCTGACACCCTTCTCCTACTGTGGACTGGATGATAAATTCCCAATGCCACCAGGTTTTGGACTGGAGGTGTGACCCTAAATTGTAGTCCCTCTTCCTACCATCTGCTAGATTTCAGTTCCCGGTGGATCTGGTATTGGTTGGAAGCTGGATAAGACACATGAGCTCCTGCATGTGTAAGGCTGGGTTCCCTGTTGTTACTGTAAACTGGACGGCACAATCCCAATTCCACCAGATTTTGACTGGAGATGGATGCCTCCTGAGCTCTCCTTACTTCCTCCCATCTGCTGGATATCGGTTTCCAGTGGATCAGGTGTTCGTTGTGTTGGAGATGTGTAATGGTGCAGAAACTTCCCTTCCAGTACTTGTTTTTGAGGTGAAAGGTAGAGGACCTTCTTCCTACAGTGGACCTAATATACAATTCTAGATGCCACCAGGTGTTAGTTGAATTCCCATTTATGGACTGTCGTGCCTTAGCCACCCAACACCTGGGGATCCCTTACCCGCAGAAAATGTGTGGGGGCTTCTCCAAGTTTCCGACCTATATGTTTTGGCGACACATTCCTGAAGGGCAAAGAATATACCTGGCTCAAAAGTGGTGAAGTCTTCCACTGTTGTGTTGTTTTTAATTTCTTACCACACCTCATGGTCTTTCTTTGAGTGATTTCTACAGGAGGATCCTATTATTACTGGCCCTCCACCAGTTCAATGTGGGATTCTAGCTTTTTGTGAAAGAAGGTAAGATATAATATCGGAATTAACATTTTTCGAAACTGAAAATGTATTTCTGATAAATACTTACCTCCTCTCACATTTCCCATCTTTTATCCCCATTTCTGGTGTATTGGTTGACTTATGATGAACAGGTGTATTATTAGAGAAAGTACTAGTTATGATTGGGGTAGTGTCACACTCCTGTTGATGAACGGTTACTGCATGATCATTTGTATGTAGATATGCATAAACAAATGTTACAAGGTTAGTGGCAAGCCAAACATTTGTGCCGATAGAGGGCAGTACTAATTGAAAAAGCTTTTTGTGAGAGGAGGTGGCATCTTTCAGAAATACATTTTCAGTTTAGGAAAATGTTAACAATCGGTGTCCAAATAACTGAAAGTAGGGTTAAGTGTACTATGATTTTTGAAAATTATGCATTTATATCACAGCATAATTGCCTGCTTATGCTATCTGTGCAGTAGTTATAAAATTACTAAACCATACAGGCATACATTTGTGTTATTCTAAAAACAATTTACTAAATTATCAATAAATTAGAATATAACTCCTAGTTTTCTTAACATGAATAAACTTTAGTCTTCAGTACTGGATTTACTACTTGTTATTGCTGCCTGTGAATTTAGTGATGGGTCTGCAGTTGAAAACATGTAGCACAAGACAGAGAATCTATAGTGCAAGAAGCGGAACATTTAACTAAGTTTTAGTAAAGGGGTGATGGCTTTCAATTGTGATGGGTCTGCAGTTGAAAACATGTAGCACAAGACAGAGAATCTATAGTGCAAGAAGCGGAACATTTAACTAAAGTTTTAGTAAAGAGGTGATGGCTTTCAATTCACGGCAAAGACATTAGCACAAATTTGTATTGTAATGTGCAGTATTGATCAATTTCTATTTCTTGTTTTGAGTTTCACATTAAACAGTTTATGTAAATAATTAGGTCATAAAATATAATAATCAGATTGTTGTATATTGTGAACTCGATTAACTTCATTGCGATATTGAAATGAAGATATACAGATGATGGTATGCCATTTCAGTTATAGTATTTTAAAGTTATGTATAACTTATGAAATGTGCTATATTGTGTTATGATGTAGAATGCTGAAATATATCAAACCAGCTTTGTTTAGGAAAACTTTCTAAAGATTAATCCCATTGTAGTTCATTAAGTGTTATCAGACATTTTGTAGAAATTTAATCGATTGTAGGCCATTAAGCACTATTAGACACTTTCTGAAAATTCAACCCATTGTAGGTCATTAAGTATTATCAGACACTTTGTAGAAATTTAACCAATTGTAGGCCGTTAAGCACTATTAGATGCTTTCTGAAAATTAAACTCATTGTTAGGTAATTTAGTGCTATTAGACACATTCTAAAAATTAAACCTATTGTAGGCCATTAAGCACTATTAGACACTTTCTAAAAAGTAAACCCATTGTAGGTCATTAAGCACTATTAGACACTTTCTGAAAATTAAACTCATTGTGAGGTAATTTAGTGCTATTAGATACATTCTAAAAATTAAACCTATTGTAGGTCATTAAGAACTATTAGACACTTTCTAAAAATTAAACTCATAACATGTAACATTGTATTAAATGTACTGTTTAAAATGTTATGTTGATTTTGTACCGATACTCTTCTTAGAAAATTTCCAAAATTAAACTTAAATAATAATTACACTTGAAATCAGTGTTTCAAAATTTGATTATATTCTTACTCCCATTTCCAGTAATCTTGCCAAACACATGCTTAAAATTTGTTTCTCAACCTGTTAAATCATGTTCACAAATATCAACCTTAATATTTGTGAAAGATAACATGAATTTTAAGATTTTTTTTAACCTAGTGAATCATGTTCACAAGTATCAAACCTTATAATTGTGAAAGATAACATGAATTTATAAGATGTTTCTCAACCTAGTGAATAAAAAAATCATGTTCATAAGTATCAACCCTAACATTTGTGTAAGGTAACATAAATTTATGAGGTTATTCATTATAGTGAATCATGTTCACAAGTATCAACCCTAATATTTGTAAAAAAATAACATGAATTTATGAAATGTTTCTCAACCCATTGATTCATGTTCACAAGTATTAACACAAAATAAACCCTTTCTTCCCATACTGATCAAAGATTCTGTTAACCTGTGTGCTTTATTTCAGTTTCTTTCTACTGATTTTTTGAGAGATAATTGAACATATATCATTGTTATGTCAACTTTGGTTCTGTTTTCCAATTGTAAACTTTTAATTTTTTCAGGCTAAAATAGTTTACTGATGCATTTCTGTTATTCATACTTACTGTTTGTTTTGAAATTCTGATGAAGATTTTTTGTTCATCAACGAGTGAGTGAAAACAGATTTTTATTGTATATTTGCATTTCAAACTTTCTTTTCTCTAACTGTCTTATTGATGTTGATTTCTTCTCTTATTATTTAAACTACAAGTTTGTTTTGTTTGTCTGGATTCTTCCAAATTCCCTTTTATAATATAGTTTTTGATCATTATTTCATTATAATTTCTGTGGGAATATGTAATTGACTAGCTAAGACTACTTTATTCATGTTTCTTCTTTCTGCATGGAAAGTTATTACAGTACAGTTTAAGACAGACTTTTTTTGTTTTCATACAAGTTAATAACAGAGCACGTTCCTTTGAGATTCAGAAAAAATATTTTCTTCAGTCATTTTCAGTACAAATGGACTTCTTTTATTCAATGCCTATTTATACTTTTACATTCTTATCCTTGTAAGGTAGAGCAACATAGGAAAAATAAAATTTGAATATTATTGTAACATTAGACCAAATTTTCCACCTTTAATTATCTACATAAATTTACTCTGGAAAGTGACACTCTGTCATAACATTTCAAGTAAGATTTCTAAAAACTCATAACAGGATAACTGAAAAAACCATTCACATTTTGATGTTTCATCCTAATCACTACATTATCTCAACAGTTTAAAAACATAACTAAAGATATTTCTCTTTTCACCTGGATCTATATTAATAAAACTCCTTTATATATAACTGTATCTTTTACATGCACTTTCAGCTGTTTAACTTGGTTGTTTTAAGACACTCCTTTTGATGCATATAAATGTATCACATACCACATTTGGTTTAAATGTTATATGAAAGAATTCATTCAAATAATACTGTAAGGCTCAGAGTATTTTCCTAATATTTTATTTATGTTCTTTCTTAAATTATAGATTGTTTATTTGATAATTCTGAATCTTATAGTGATACCAGAAATGTTGTTATTAATAAGATCTTTGGAGTGGCAGTAAAGAGTGTATAACAATATGTCAACTGCATTATATCTGCCGCATCCAATGCCAACAAAGCCTTTTGCCCAGTACCAGCCTGGCTGGGATGTGACAGACATGATAGTGGTTGAAATGATATGTTATCATCAAATTGCTTCAACAACAACCGTTTCAGTGTGAACTGGATTAATTTGGTGAACTCTAACTTTTATCAATTTCATTTGAGTGAGAATTAGGGTAATGGTGTTTGTTTATTTTAACACTGTATATTATTAATTATTATTTTTCTTGAATTATCCTGCTTGTTATTATAAGAACGAGCGAATCTGCAAAATAGTCAGTTGATCTTGGAGTGGGTCGACGGTATAATTGTGTTTGAGAAACAGGACGTGCAGAAATAAGTAGCAGATTTGTTTGTAGTTATTAGTTCTCATTTCTCTCTAGATAAAAGGATGCTCCCTGAGAGTTCAACTGGCAGTTTAACGTGTGAGACGTGTAATAAAAGTTTCACCAGAAGACACGACTTAAAGCGCCACAACAATACTCATTCAAACATGCGAGTGTTTTTCTCCTGTTATCTTTGTTCAAAAGTTTTTTCTTGGAAGAGAAGTCTACAACAACATGTGAAGTACCATCACCATAAGTTGTAAAACCTTTTGCAAAACAGAGTAAAATCCAGGGGTACAAAGACAATGTTTTGTGCATCTGTTTTTAATTATTAAAAACCAGAATAATGACATTTTATATACATCATTTTTTGTTTAATTCTGAGTGAATATATGACATAAGAAGTTAATGTTTATTATGAACACTAAGGTGGAAGTCAGCTAGAAATTCCAAATAATAAAGCCGTAGTATAGCTTTAAAAGATTAAACTTGAAACTATGTTAATACTTAACAAATTTGTATAAAAGGGGCTCCATCTTTTAAAAATGAAAACTTCTTCTATAAAACATTTTGTTAAAAAAACGGTTTTTTCTTTACAAATTTTGTAGAAAACAACTCCTTCATTTACAAATTGCATACAAAAAGGCTATTTCCCTTTAAGAATTGTTTTTGTGAATTTTTTAAAAGTTGTAATTATAAATGGTTTTGTTTTAGTGGAAGCTATATTGTATATACCCTACAAAATCAGTGTCAGTCGAGATATTCACCTACAAAATCAGTGTCAGTCGAGATAATGCCAATTCTCTCATCAGTAGTCATATCAGTTACAGATTTCCTGTCACAATATGGGCTCTGTATATTTCTCACATAATTTATACTAGCAATTAAATAAACACGTATATTTTTCAACCTTCTTAAATGTTCCTAGATAGTTCAAAGTTAAGCCTGAAATATAAAAAAGTTTTTGTACAGGTCGTATGTGCAATAATAATTTATTGGTTCTGTGATATCATTCTCATATATTTATGGTTCTTACTTTCTAGTAGAAACTGTGAAATGGCTTCTAATACACTTCCTTAAGACATAAAATATAAAGGTACTTTTTGTTTAATAACTATGAAATATACTGCTCTCCAGGGTTTCTTTAGTTTCAAAGTAACATACTTCCAACATTCTGGTATAATGTCAAAGCTTTTATTTAATATTAGAAAATACTATTACATTATTAACCATGATACTTTCACAGTTTGTTGAAGTTACTTAGATACTTTTAGTGTTTTTTTTTGTTTATAGGTTAACATTTACTAAGAATTTAGAGTAAAAAAATCTTTTTTTTTTTTGCAACTTATGAGAAATAAGAGAACGGGAATCCTGATTTATACTTGCAAGTTAATAATAAGTTCTAATACTTTTTATTGGTTTTAGACAGAAGAATTTTCCCAGATTTGAGAACACAGGACCTTCAGCTTGGGCCAGATGTGACTAGTGACTCTAAAGTTACTAGATTTATATGTGATATATGTTGTAAAAGCTTCACAAGAAGATACGACCTGAAGCGGCACAAGTATATCCACTCAGATGTGCGAATGTGTTTCTCGTGTCACTTTTGTTCTAAGGTGTTTACTTGGAAGATCAGTTTACAGCAACACTTAAAGTTCCATCACCAGAAGTCATAAAAATGTCCTGTTACAGCAACACTTAAAGTTCCATCACCAGAAATCATAAAAATGTCCTGTTACAGCAACACTTGAAGTTCCATCATCAGAAGTCATAAAAATGTCCTGTTACAGCAACACTTGAAGTTCCATCACCAGAAGTCATAAAAATGTCCTGTTACAGCAACACTTGAAGTTCCATCACC